AGAGCTGAAATTTTTAAAACCATGAATTTTTGTCCTGAAATCACTTAAGTTGGTTTGCTTGGGGCCATTTGTACATAAACTTCATTGCTTTCAAAGCAAATGTTAATCCCTGAGACAAAGAGCCCAGCTCCTTCCTACTTTACATCACATTTTATTTCAATTTTTCTATGATACCGCAAAAAGAAGGAGTGCACTTTAGGTTTAGTCTAAAAATAAAAAAATAAAAGTGATGTACAAAATATTTCCCTTTAACAGGATTGGTGTGATTTTTCTGTGATTTTTTATTAAAAAAAAGACAAAACAAAAACAAAAAACTCCCAGAAAATAAATAAAATTTACACTTTAGTGCAGACATTTGACAAAAATATTATCACAGAGATCTTTTGTCTAATATTCTGCAAGACTCCAGCTGCATGGGTATACTCTAATATATGGTGAAGTGAGAAAAGGACGGCAATAATCCACAAACCATGAGGATTTGAACCCAACTTACCAAGGCTAGAGAAAAGAGAGGCCTGATAATTGAATTCAGATCTTTATTTGGTAAAGATTCATTTATATACTTCTTTGAAGTTTTATTATTTGACTGATATCTGTCTATTCTAACAGTTATGTTCTGCTGGCCTTACCTCAGTCAGTTACCAGAACAGCTTTCTTACAGATGAAATTTTAAGTTCTCATTCACTCTGTAAAATAAATGAGAACTTTGGTGAATCCGATGCTGATTTCTGAATGTTATTGAGATAATGAACATACAACAGACTATGTTTACTGACTTGGGGAAAGATCTTTCTCTACTTCTCTCTACCGGTCTGGACTGAGGCCACATTGGAACCGAGCTGAAGATTTGCATCAAAAAAGTGCAATGTCAAAATAAAGCCAGAGGAATCTTAACAAGCAGAGTAAAAATTCTGACATGGTGGTGGGCAGTGTGATAACGCCGCCACAGAATAAATACAGAGGAAGAAGGAAGAGCAAAAATGCCACAGAGCAGTGTTCGCCAACCTTTTCTGACTTGTCTTCCCTTTTGGACATTTTCTTCTTACAATGAGTTCCTCTCCCAATCAAAAGTATTGATGACTGTCCAAAAGAGGAACGCACAATAACTGATTATAAAATAAAAACTATTTCACTTGATGTTTTAATTTGACCATTTAATTCTTTTTAATTAGTTTCATGCTTTCCATCTAAAAAAAACAACAAGATAGATATGTTACTTGTAAGTTATTAAGGAATCAAAATAAATACAAAATGAAATGATATTATAATCCTGTATTTATAAAACTGGAGCTCCTCTGAGTAACTCCTTCATAATCACATTTAAACTTGATGAATTGGGAATAAAATATAAAACAAAAATTATAGTCAGACTGACTTCATTAGTTTTACTTTGTTTTCATCCAGACACCTGAGCTGCTTTGATGAGCTCCGATAGCTCAGTGTGAAAAACAGCTGATCCAAGGCTGTTCTCTACATCCAGTCTGTTCCTCTGCTTGGTTTGGATGAGTGTCAAAGCCGAAGCTGAACTCAAACATATAAGAAAAACTTACTTTTTGGTTGAAAAAAGATCCGAGCCATATTTTATTTTACTGCCTAGGACATAAAATGTTTTCATTTATCCCTTTAAATGCACTCAAAGACCACTAGGGGTATGTGTACCAGCGGTTGGAAATCACTGCCGTAGATGAGCAAAAAGTGTTCATGTAAAAAATGACAATAAATTGAATAAATCCTGAAAAACAACCACATTCCAAATTCTGCTATTGTCTTCGGTTCTTTTAGCAAATATGTGCTAAAAGTAAATTTACTGACATGTCTAAATCTGCCAGTTCTGTAGCCTATTAGCGGTTTGAACTGTTCATATGAATCGAAGGCAAGCCCTCACACTAAGCATGCTTGTAGCGACAGTAGAGAGGAAAAACTCCCTTTGAACAGGAAGAAACCTCCAGCAGAACCAGGCTCGGCGTGAGCAGCCATTTGCCGAGGCTGACTTGGGTTCAAGGAGACAGAAGGAGAGATACAAAAGGCAAGTCCAGGAAAAATACAGCCAGGCAGACGAGCTCCGAGCCAGCTCCCATGTCAGAGGATAAGAGAGCACATCCAGCCTGCCACAGTCAGAGAAACAGGACTACACCGAAAAACCGGCTAATCTCGAACATCTATAATCAAAGGTGTTGATGGCAGCAGCACAGCTGATTGTTTATCTCCAGGATGGAGTCACAGCCAAACAGGAACAGACCAGGTGAAGCTACTATGAGAAAAAGAAAGAGCATAATGTTAGACACTGAACTAACAGATTCTGCAGAGTGGGAGAATAGAGATAGAATGAAGCAGAATGATGAGAAAGGGGTCCCTATGTCCTCCAGCAGTCTAAGCCTATAGCAGCAGAACTATAGAGCTTAACAATTAACTGGCAGAACATTAAAGAAACTGTTGCTTCACCTAAATGCACTTATTGCACATACTATTAATCCAATATCAATTACCTTATGTATTCTCTCTGCTTTAGCTTTGTATTACATTCAGGTCATGGCGAGTGAGATAATCACTGATAGAGCTGGGCTTATAAAAGAGAGGAATGGAAAACATCTGAGATTCTGGCAGTGGGTTTGCTGAAGGGCCTTAGAGAAGAAAACTAAAGCAAAACTCTGGAGGAAGGAAAGAGAGGAAAAGTAAAGAGACCGGTGACCCCATAAACAACAGGCAGGAGGTTAGAGTCTCCAAAAACCACCTCAACATAAGCTGTAAAGGAGAAAGAAGATTCGGAAAGGGCTCACAG